AAACACATGGTTGAGTACCATCCTGCGCATTACTGCTGTTACCAATACAATTGTGACTTCGAGCTCATGTCTTGAGGTTGAGGGCATTCACGATATGATCGCAAAAAAGGCCACGGGCTCGTCTGCTCAGAGCAGCAATAAAAAATGGTTCTGGCTGACCCTTAATCCAAAAAAAATGTCGTTAGTCGATGCTGACAATTGTTTAAATAATCTAATTATTCGACGACACGGTGGACTGTGGGAATTAGCTTCCCCAACAGGCGATAGGTATCAATTACATTCCGTTTTACTTGATTTCCCTCGACGGTGATCTGGTAGCCGTCCGTCAAATGGCACACGACCTGTCACCACATCGTATGGAATGTGTTAAATATGGTTAAATACTACTTACGAATCTTTGTCAGTTGTATATGTGTATAACATTTGTACTTTTTTCTAGATGAAAACATATATTTTTTCTAACCGATATATTTTTATCATCAACTTCAAAAGATTTTTTTTGTTTTTGTTTTTGAAAACTTATTATTTATTGAACCTAATTGTTTCGTTGAAACTACGAAATTAAAAGGTTTACAGCCTCTCTTATTGGCAATCGAACTAGAATAAAGATTGGACCACTATTTATAATAAACAATGAAAAACTATCGAAAAATTATATGAATTTTTGTTTTCTTTGTATATTTATAATAACTATAAATTAGGTATATTTTGTACGATGCGTAGAGCTATTTGAAATATTTAAAAATATTAATTAGGGGATACCGAAAAGTTTCGTTTTACATTATCGTTGAAATATAGTTTTTCATAAATATTAAACACGTTAAGAAACACTGAAGACTTTTAGGCCCGCTCTCCTCATATCTTTTATAGTTCTATTATTCAGTGTGTCGATGCGATTCTTTCGGCACCCCTCAATTATATTAGACACGTGTTTCGGAATTACATTTGTGGAAAATTCACTTTTAATGCTATAACCAACCCTAGTGGTACCATGATGAGATTGTTTCGATCTGAATGAACTTTTGTCTTTCATTAGGGATGTAATATACGTATTTTTTATCACTATTTGATGCTCTTTACCATGAACGTGTGCATGGCACACCTAATGATGTATGCCAATGCGACCTATAAATACTTCCAAAGGTCGAGTCAGTCAAGACAGCGCCTTCGATGATTATTTCTTCATAAATCGTGTTTCAGAAAAGGACATTGCAGAAGCGCTCGGGGAATATGAATATGATATGAGTAGTACGGTGGAGTGTACGACCGCAACAGCTCTAAGGAAATGGTTTGATTTCTAGTATTGGTCGATGCTGTAGTATTAGACATAGTTGAAGACGTCGTGGCCTGAAGGATAAGACCCTCGTTTGCATTCGTATCGAGCGATGCGATTGTGCCGGTGTTCGAATCCGGCAGGCAGGTACCAATTAATGAAATATGTTCTTAGCAAGTGCATGTGCGGCGTGACTAGGCTCGATAAAATCCACAACGAGTACGTGGAAGCCTAGGTGTACGGGACATCACCGACAAGATGCAGGAGAGTAGGCTGAGATGGTATGGTCACGTGAAAAGGAAGCCGCCTGACTACGTCGGCAATTTGGCGCTACTGCTCGACTTCCGCGGTCGAAGAACTCGAGGTAGACCCAAGACAAGGCGGATTGACGTAGTGCTGAAGGACAAGCGAGAATGCAATGTTGCTGACGACGATGTCGAAGACAGAGCGAAGTGGAGGAGTAAAGTCAGGAAAGCTGACCCCACCACCATGTGGGATAAATAGCTGGAAAGAGAGAGAGTTCTTAGCAAGTGCTCTCGAATTACTTCCATTGTGAAGGAAAAACAACATGTAATAAAAATTAAACCCAACAAAATTATATTGCGTAATTACTGATGGTGGGGCGTTTGGTAAGCCCGCACGGCTAGGTACAACGCTGCCTATTTCTTTCGTCTAGCAGTAATGCAGTTACTTTATGTAATTATCAAAACTGAAATATAGAACTAACTATACATACTAGTGGCCCCGCAGTAGTCGAAATTCGACTATAATTAATTGAAATTATAAGTTTAAACATTATTATGGTTCTATTGTCGAACACTATTATAATTAGATAATATAATCACAGTATTCGCCCAAACTGCACTATAGATCAATAATATTAAAGACAAACAATATTAATCTATTTTCAATTCGAGCACAGACTTTAAACAATAACAAAAGTTTCCCAATTGACAGTAAACAAAGAGTATATTTTTATGTATGTTTTGTGTCAAATACATGGTAGTGTGTGTAATGTTTTCTTTATTGATTTAAAATATCTTTTAAGCATTATTTAAAAAAAATATTAGCATTGTGCACTCCTTCTCTATATTCTCTATCAGTGTGAGAAATTTCATAATTCTCCGTCCGCTCAATTTTCGTAAAAACGGTTACAAAGTTTTTGCTTCACGTATTAATGTATAGATATATTTATAAACTATAGAACTAAGGTATCAAGGTGTGTAGCGGCGTATACTCTATACGTTGTTAGTTTAGGAAAGAAAAAAAAAATGTTCGTTTTTGGCGAATCATTGACATAACTAAAACCACTTTTACGGTTTAATCTCGCGTGTTTTTTTTACTGGCATATTTATACAGTTTTACAGTTTACGTGGTCAGAATCGACGAGACAGTGACGGAATGAATTCTATTTCTAATCACGATTAGTACGATGATAAAAAAGTGTAGTTGATGTTAATTTTTTATGCCTTTTCCTATAATGTTATGTGCAGTATATGCCGTTTATATTTTAACACATTATTAACACACATAGATAATGTAGAGGTACAGACTAATCAACAGACGGTTGTGTTATTTCAAGAACAACGAAACGCAGCTGCGAAAAGGGCTTCTTAAACTTTTCCCTAGAGAAAAGTTACGGTCTCCCTCGCGTCGGTCCTGTCATGCCAAGGCGATTTGGTGACCGAGGGCGTTCTTAGGTGATGATAGATACGTTAAAGGGCCTGTCATATGAAGCTTCTATCTTTGTAAAAATGAATTGTATTCGAAATACCAGGTATTTGCGTATTATATTTATATAAATATCACAATCAAGGCAGCGCTGAGCAGTGTTACAATATCGAGCTGTTATACGGGACACTATGAACTTCTTTTTAAAAAAAACTAAATTATGATTCACACTGGATTTAATAAAAAATGATAGGCGCGAGCGCGGCGAAGGATGGAGACGAACTGATTGAGTGAGTGGGGATTGCAATGAGGTATGGTGTGGATAAGGTTACGGGAGAGCTGATGCAGCAGGAATACGGTAGGGTCTGCATATCTACGGTNTTTTTTAAAAAAAACTAAATTATGATTCACACTGGATTTAATAAAAAATGATAGGCGCGAGCGCGGCGAAGGATGGAGACGAACTGATTGAGTGAGTGGGGATTGCAATGAGGTATGGTGTGGATAAGGTTACGGGAGAGCTGATGCAGCAGGAATACGGTAGGGTCTGCATATCTACGGTACCGAAGCCCGGATATAACAGAGCGAACATAGAGGTTTTTTAACTACATGATATGTCGTGGAATGCAACCTCTTTGACAGGACATAAGACCTACAACGGCTAGACACAGATTAAGACAGACACTTGACAAGAATTCAAAAATAAAGAGAGAAATGGAACGAGGGCGGACGTGATTAGCGGCAGGAGGTTTTTTTTTTTATTTCCTAAAAGACGGACACGAACCAGGCGACAAGGAACAAATTGACCGTTTTTATATAAACATAAAATTGACCGTTCATGATATGTTCATAATATATAGTTTGACCGACCACGACTTAATTGAATATCAAACCTTATAAGCGACCATTTGGATATGAATAATTTGTTCAAGATGCTTGTTAAAACTCATTCTATTAGATTCTAAACGAGGAAGACGCTGTTTAAGATTCGAGTTTTTTGTGCTAATACGGTTGCTAAGCCCAGGCACGGGTCGCTGAAGCTTCTTTTGCTTGCTACGAATAGGGTAGGAGGATGTCGTTGACCATTTTCGGAGTACGTGAAGGTTACGCTTGGTAACCCCGGGGTGTCATTGTTAATAATTCAGCGCGCCCATCATTAAGGCGAACGCTGCTGGAGTGAGTTGTGAATTTCATGATAAAGTGGCTTTCGTATCATCCGCAGTCGTAGTAGGGGACTGTTTCCCATGAACACTACACTCGACTTATGGAGTATCGGAGCATCAGCTTTGTGATGGTAAAATGTAACTCATTATTGTCCGAAGCGTTTTTCATAATAGCTGTTTTACAAAGAATCTAATGTGTGCCTCAAAACACTTTTTTGCGTAAAGAGTTGAACGGTCCATGGTCCACCTGAGGTCTATTATTTCAATTGTAAGTATAGTAATTACGCTAATTAAAATTCATACGGATTTTTATTACACGATGTTATTCCTTCAGCGTGGAAGTCATACATGAATACGTTGTAATTACGTATTTCGTTAGAAAAGTTAGCGCTTGCCTGTGGGATTTAAACACCGGCACAGTCGCATCGCTAGATACGAGCACCCTGTCCTTTAAGCGACGACGACTACCATAAGAAAATCCCAGTAGTTTTAAATAATAGTTACACTAGTTATCGATATCCTGTTTCTACACACTTTTTACCCTTTGCACTAATTTGGTGCAAAGATAATTAAATGCACCGAAAGTGGACCGAAGAACGATTACATTGTATTAATTAACGTCAAATAAATCAAATCGATAAGAGAACTGAGTCTTAGGCGTATTTATATAGCGATTATTGACGTGCACAGCAGTACAGCAGTTCAGCAGTACAGCAGTGTACAGCAGTTCTGTATGTAAGAAGAGAGTGAATCGTTAGTTCATTAATAATCTCATTGATATGAAGTTAATGGTGATATATTTAGTTTGTTACGTAAGTTATGTTCGGGCGCGATGTCGATTTCGTGGAGAATGTGCTGTGATTGGTTCTCATGCGAAACCCTGTCCTGTAGATATGGAAGCTGTAAGTCATGTACAAGGTCTTCATGGGGAGGAAGCCGAACAAGCGATTGGAATTTTAGCCAACCGATGTCCTCATATGGTTTACGATGATGAAGGTAATATTAAACCATACGAAGAAATACTGACTTGCTGTGAGCCGATTCAAGTCATGAAGCTTTCCAGCGATTTAGCGTTGGGCGAAGGCGTTCTAGGCCGCTGTCCAACTTGCTTCAGAAACTTTGTAAGACAAATTTGCGAGATGTACTGCTCCCCTGACCAGTCTCGATTTGTGGAAGTTCATACAGAAATTGGCCCCAACAACATTGAGTATGTGGAAGCGGTTGACTACAGACTTCACGAGCCATTTATGCTGACAGCCTTCGAATCCTGCTCTGATGTTATCGTTCCTCAGACCGGTCTTCCAGCTGTTAACATGATGTGTGGCAGTGCAGTTGTATGCGATGCAGACGCGTGGTTCAAATTTACTGGCGACACTGCAGGCAACCCCATGGCACCACTTCAAATAAACTTTCAGAGATGGCCGACAGAAGAGGATTCAATGAATGTAGTTGCACTACCATGTACCGAAACTATGGAAGGTGATCTTCCGTGCAGTTGTGTTGATTGCAGTGCAATGTGTCCGGTAGGAAGTAAGCCCATCGTTCCCGAAATCTGTAAAATCTTTAACGTTAACTGTCTCGGATTTGCTATTGGTTTAACGGTTTTCGTTATCAGCGTTACTATCTTCATTGTACTAACTTTATTAGAATATAGAAAAAAAAGATCTAATACGTCTAGATCTTCTGAAATAAGAGAAATTGATTGTTTCACGAAGTTTTTTCAAAAATGTTTTTCGCGAATCGGCGTCTTTTCCGCGGGTAATCCTGTACTTATGATAATGATTGCTTCTTGGGTTACTTTTTCAATGCTTTACGGTGTATTTAATATTAATTTAACCACTAACCCAATAGAGCTTTGGTCTTCACCTGATTCTCGTAGTCGTCAAGAACTTAATTATTTTAATACTAGATTCGGGCCGTTTTACCGCGCTGCACAGGTGTTTTTGCATTTCAAGGGACTAGACTCATTTTCTGTAGATAACGTTACCTATGGACCTGCATTTAGAATTGAAGCATTGCGAGAATTAGTACATCTAGAAAATAAAATCAAAAATATTGGTCGAGAACAAAGAGGTGTAACTTTAGAGGAAGTTTGCTATGCGCCTATTAGGTCCAGAGGAGCAAAGAAAGAATTAGATCAATGTGTTTATTTATCTGCATCCGTTTATTTAGGTGAAAATAGAAACGATATCGATGAAAACACTTATCTTGACGACATACAAAGCTGTTTGAACAACTTTTTTTCCTTTGACTGCTTGGCAAATTGGGGAGGAGGTGCGGAACCTGAGGCAGTTTTCGGAGGCTTTGAAGGTGATGATGTCTTAAGCGCTAATACATTAATCATTAATTTTCCTATTACCAATTTTAATTTAGAAGAAAACCTCCGTCCTGTTTTGGAATGGGAAGAGAAATTCATTGAACTTATGCAAAACTATGAAGCTTCCGGTAAATCAGATTATGTCGAAGTGGCTTTTGGAGCCGAAAGATCAATCGAAGACGAAATCAGGAGAGTTTCAGTAGCAGAAGCTGTACCGATCGCTATTAGTTATTTAATAATGTTTATTTATGTGACGTTGGCTCTAGGAAACATTAGATACTGTAAGACATGGCTCATTGATAGTAAAATATTGGTTGCTATAGGTAGTATTGTTGTTGTTGTTATCTCTATTATTTGTGCCATGGGTGTCATGGGTTATGCGAATTTCACAACTACTCTATTAGCAATAAATGTGATTCCGTTCTTCATACTTTCAGTAGGCATAGATAACGTATTCCTTATGATCAATACGTTACACGATATACAAAATAATGTTAAAGAATACGAGGACTATGATGAGTCTTTTAGTTTTGAGAAAAAAAAGAGATTTATTTTCGAAAAAATGATGGGCAGTGTTGGCCCCTCAATGTTTGTGTCTTCTGTAACGCAAATCACCTGTTTCGCAATTGGTAGTATTACTGATTTTCCAGCGGTGGCAACATTTTCTATATTTGCTAGCTTATCTTTGACTTTTCTTTTTATATTTCAGATAACAGCAGTTGTCGGTATACTATCATTAGACTACAAAAGAGTCGCTCAAAAACGTGTCGATATTTTTCCTTGCATTCGTAGTAAAGCTTCAACGGATAGCGACCACGATCCTCCACACGTCAGTATAATAAATAGATTTATGATATTGTATTCTGATATAATTACGAATTGGAAAGTAAGAATTGTTGTTGTAATTTTCTTTATGATCATTTTATCTCTGAGTATTATTGCGGTTCCACATTTAGAAGTAGGCTTAGACCAAGAAATGGCTTTACCGACTGACTCATACGTATATAGATATTTAGTTGCTGTCAGTGAACTATTGCGTCTCGGCCCACCAGTTTATTTTGTATTAAAAGCTGGTTTAGATTTTACTAATCCGGATCACCAAAACGTTATTTGCGGAACCCAGCTGTGTTACGAAGATTCATTAATTACACAAATATTTCTAGCTGCTCAGCACAGTGAAATAACCTATATAGCAAGAAGCTCAAATTCTTGGCTGGATGACTTCTTTGATTGGTCCAGCTTACCCGGGACTTGTTGTAAATATAACGTTACCGATAATGGGTTTTGTCAAACTTTAGATACTTCTCCAGAGTGTGCCTATTGTTCGATAAGCAGGAATGAATGGTCTAACGGCCTCAGACCTAGTAAAGAGGCGTTCGAAACTTTTCTACCTTTTTTCCTACAAGACGAACCAAGCCAAGTCTGCACTAAGGGAGGGTTGGCAAGTTACTCAAGCAGTGTTAATTATTTACTTGATTCTGAAGGTCGTGCCATTGTCCATGATACGAATTTTATGGCATATCAAACAGCGCTAAGCAGGTCGCCAGACTTCATCAATGCTGTGAAATATGGTTATGAGATTAGTGATAACATCACTGCCGCTATCCGGAAGCACACAGGTATGGATGTTGAAGTTTTTCCTTATTCCGTGTTTTACGTGTTTTTTGAACAATACCTGAATATTTGGTCGGACACGTTTGCAGCGTTAGGTTTTTCAGTTTTGGGTGCTTTAGCAATAAACCTGTTAGCGTCTGGGTTTAACTTTTTGACGAGTTTCGCTGTTATATTGACTGCTGTCATGGTCGTGATCGATATGATGGGCGTAATGTATATTTGGAATATACCGCTCAATCCAGTGTCTTGCATTAATCTTATCGTGTCTATTGGTATATCGGTTGAATTTTGTAGTCATATTGCATACGCTTATGCGACAAGTCGTCGTCCTGACCACGAGAGAGTGAAAGATGCAATACAAAAAGTCGGCTCCACTGTTATTACTGGAATTACATTTACGAACATACCAATTGTAGTTTTAGCATTTTCTCACACTGAAGTTATAGAAGTGTTCTTCTTTAGGATGTTTTTTAGTCTGATAATACTAGGGTTCTTGCATGGGTTGGTGTTTTTCCCTGCTCTGCTGTTATTCCTCAATAATATAAAAACGAGATCGTTTTAAATTTCAATCGTATTTGTTTGCCCTATAACCAATTCAATCAACAAACATAATTTACTATTTTATTTGTATTTTAACATACGTGTTACCATAAATGTTTTTTTTTTCTATTGTCGAGATTAGTACACGTTTATGGGTCTTTTGAAGCCAAATGTTTAGCTGCGTCCACAAGGATGAAATCGCGAAACCGCCAAAATGAGTTCGGAGTCTATTGTACCGAAACAGTGATTACCCTACTCGTTGAGCTTGAATTTATGATCGTTTTCGACATAAATAACGAGGATGGCGGTGAATACCTAATAGTTAACCATGAAACACACCGTGTCAGTACTCAAGTTAGGTATTAGGAAAGCGTTTGAAGCTAGGCGTTATGTTTTAAGGGGAAGGCAGGAGTCGCGAAATCGCGTAACCATAGGTGGACTGTGACTTTGGCTGGCTGTCTACGCTACTACAATAAAGACTGAACGGTGATAAAATTGTGAAAACCATATTTATTCTTACAAACATGTTTTCGTGTTTCGAAGTGAAACTTCTTTAGACGCGTTGAGAGTAAAATTTAACTCGCGATAGATTCATTATGGCTAGATACATCTAGGAAGAGCGAGACTGAGATACACAGAGCCATTCGCAAACCACTCGACCGCGGTGAAGGGAAAGGACAAAACGAGCTAGGTCGCTTCTCTTCTACATACACAGCATTCCCAATTACAATAGAAATTTGATTTAAGGATGAAAAATGAATAAAACCACAGGACTACACATCGCAAAAGAAGTTTCACTTCTTTCACGTGCACCAAGTTGCGCGTTCACATTTTTTTTGTTATTGAGACAACTCGCCTCTATGTTTTCTATACCTACTTCTCCTGTACATCATGAATAGAGCCTTTGTGTAATGTTCAGTTTTCTAGTTTCAATAGCTTGGGTTGGATATTTATCAGTGAGTCAGTTATGAGCGAGTCCCACAAGTCGGTTAATATTGACTTTTATAGAATCGAATTTTTTACGTACCACATTGTTCTTCGCCCTAAATTATTAAAGAACTATATGCTTATAGCCATTAGCTATTATATAATAAGTACATGTTACTGGTAGTTGATTTTGGTTTGTTAATTAATCTTTATTTTTGTAAATTGCAAATTAATAAATAAAAAAAAATTAGATAATAACGAGATTAAATAAATAAAATTCCGAATTTATCTGATCTTATTTTTTTGATAAATCCTGTTTATGCTATTTTCGTTTTTTAAATTAGGTATATCATTGTTTTCTTAATTACATCATCTTTGGGCATAGGTCTCCATTTTTTACCCCATAACCTTCAATCGTCCGCCAGTCTCATTCACGACTTAATACATAATTAATAATAATTTAAAAATTTGAAAATATTATCTTAGTGTTTTAAGTTAACGTATCTTTATTCTAAAATTTCTAATCACCGATTAATATACCTTTAATCACACACCTGCATGTTTAACTGATAGATATCGATAGCGTTACGATATCGTTTAGATTAATTTGTCCGTCGTTCCTTATGGTCTTTCACTCGTGAAATAGGACCGCCGTGAGCCGATTGTCTGTTATTTCTTAAATATGCAAAAGTAGCACTGTATTTACGTATAAAATGAATTTTTTTATAACGCTCATTCTTGTGTTTTTGTATACAAGCGATGTGAAGGCGAAATGTCGGTTTCGCGGTGAGTGCATCGAAATCGCGGGCCATGCAAAGCCTTGCCCTGTGGATATTGAAGCAAGACCTGTCGTAGAAGGACTGTCGCCAGCAGATGCCGAAGAAATCGTTGACATTTTAACTGAAAGATGTCCTAGTCTTGTTTTCGATGAAAACGGTGTTAAGAAGCCATTCAATGAAATCTTAACTTGTTGTGAACCCGTCCAAATCAGGAAGCTATCGGAGAGCTTAATGTTGGCTGATGGTATCCTGGGCCGTTGTCCAACATGCTTAAGAAATTTCGCCAGACAAATTTGTGAGATGAACTGTTCTCCTGATCAATCTCGTTTCGTTGATGTCTACACTGAAGTATCAGGAGGTGTCCGATATGTGAACGAAATCGATTATAGACTTTATGAACCGTTTATGCTGGGAGCTCACGCATCGTGTGCCGGCGTTATAATTCCACAAACGGGCTTACCAGCAATTAACATGATGTGTGGCAATGCAGTTGTTTGTGATGCTGATGCATGGTTTGGATTTACTGGAGACACCTCAAGCAATCCAATGGCACCGGTGCAAGTTAACTTTTTAAGGTGGCCTACACCCGAAGACTCAATGAATGCGCCTGCTCCACAGTGTAACGAAACCGCAGAAGGTGATCTTCCATGTAGTTGCGTTGATTGCGCTGCCATGTGCCCAACTGGGACTGAACCCGTTGTTCCTGAAATTTGTACTGTTCTAGACGTTCACTGCGTTGGTTTCGCAGTTGGTATTACGGTATTTGTAATAACAACTATAATATTCATTATTTTAACGCTACTAGAATACCGTAAGCTAAGGAAAGTTGAAACCAAGACTCCGTTACCGGCCGATGTTCAAAGGTTTACAATATTTTTCCAAAATCTATTTGCGAAGATTGGTGTTTTTGCCGCAAACAATCCTATACTTATAATAATGGTAACCTCGTGGGTATCAATAGGTGTGTTATATGGCGCTTTTAGTCTTAACATAACTTCGAATCCTATTGAACTTTGGTCTTCACCAGTATCCCGCAGTCGAGAGCAATTAAATTATTTCAATACTAGATTTGGTCCTTTTTACCGTGCGGCACAAGTTTTCTTGCAGTTCAAAGGATTGGAGCCATTTGAAGTAGATAATGTGACATATGGATCTGCATTTAGAATTGAAGCTATTCATGAATTGATCAAACTAGAAGATGAAATTTATAAAATTGGAAAAGATGACGGTCGCGTTTCACTAGAACAGGTTTGTTATGCTCCTAATCGTCCCAGAGGGGGAGAACAAAGACTTGATCAATGTGTTTCGATGTCTGTATCTGTATACTTCGGTCAGGATAGGGATAACATCAATGAAAATACCTATTTAGATCAAATACAAAATTGTCTGAACAATCACTATGCACTCAACTGCTTAGCATCATGGGGAGGTGGTTCCGAACCTGAGATTACTTTTGGAGGTTTCGAAGGAAACAACATTCTTAGTGCTGACACGCTTCTTATTAACTTTCCAATTACAAACTTCATGTTAGAGGAAGATTTGAGACCTGTCTTGGAATGGGAGCAGAAATTCATAGATCTATTACATGACTACAGAGACAACTGGAAGTCAGATTTCGTTGAAGTGGCTTTCGGTACCGAAAGATCAATCGAAGATGAGATTCGACGGGTTTCAGTTGCAGAAATTTTGCCGATTTCGATAAGCTACATTATAATGTTTATATATGTTATTATAGCGTTAGGAAATGTAAGGCACTGTAAGACGTGGTTACTTGATAGTAAAATAGTAGTAGCAGCTGGTAGTATTGTCGTAGTACTCCTTTCCATTGGATGTGCTTTAGGCTTAATGGGCTACACAGGTATTACAACAACCTTATTGGCCATTAATGTTATACCTTTCTTCATTCTTTCAGTTGGCATTGACAACGTTTTCTTAATGGTGAATACATTGCACGATATTCAGAACGATCTTAAATCATACGATGACTATAACGAAAATTTTAGTTTTGTAAAGAAACGTAGTTTCGTTTTTGAAAAGATGATGAGTGCAGTCGGCCCTTCCATATTTGTTTCATCAGTAACCCAAATTACTTGTTTTGGTATTGGAAGTATAACTAATTTCCCAGCTGTTCAAACATTTGCTGTATTTGCGAGTTTTTCCTTAACTTTCCTATTTGTATTTCAAATCACGACTGTGGTAGCGATTTTGTCCCTTGATTACAAACGTGTGTCGCAAAACCGACCTGATCTATTTTGCTGTATTCGAAAGAAGATTCTTAATGATGACGATCCTTTAAATTCTGAAACTCCTTATAAGAGTATCACGAAAAGACTCATGAAGCCTTATTCTAAATTTTTACTAAACTGGAAGACAAAGATCATTGTTGCTATTTTGTTTATGCTGTTGGTATCTACTAGTGTTGTTTTAATTCCACAAGTGGAAATTGGCTTAGACCAAGAAATGAGTTTGCCAACCGATTCTTATGTATATAGTTATTTAGTTGCAGTTAGTAAGCTTTTACGTCTTGGGCCCCCGGTATATTTTGTTCTTAAGGCTGGCTTAGACTTTTCAAACACAAATCATCAAAATGTTATCTGCGGTGGTCAACTATGTTATGATGATTCTCTATTCACTCAAGTGTTTTTAGCTTCTCAACATAGCAGCATCACTAGGATTTCAAAAAGTTCTAATTCATGGTTAGACGATTTTATTGATTGGACAAGTTTGTCTGGAGCTTGTTGCAAATATAATACAACCGATAATGGATTCTGTCCTAGTACAGATAACTCCCCTGAATGTGCTTTCTGTACTATAGGAAGGGACGAATGGGCCAACGGATTACGTCCCAGTTCAGAAGCATTTAAGAGATATATTCCATTCTTTTTGCGAGATGAACCGACTCCAACCTGCAATAAAGGGGGTCTTGCGAGTTATGCAAATGCCGTGAATTATTTACTTGATTCTGAAGGACATGCCACTGTGCGTGACACTAATTTCATGGCTTACCACACTTCAGTAAGTACATCTTCAGATTATATCGAAGCAGTAAAGTATGGATATGAAATCAGTGATAGTATAACTGCAGCCATAAAGAAACGCACAGGCTTAGATGTTGAAGTGTTTCCATATTCAATATTTTACGTTTACTATGAACAATACCTAACAATATGGGGTGATACGTTTGCAGCTCTAGGCTATTGTCTCATTGGTGCTTTGGTTATCAATTTACTAGCATCTGGATTCAATTTCTTAACAACTTTTGCCGTTATATTTACGGCGATTTTGGTTGTCATAAACATGATGGGCGTTATGTACATTTGGAATATTCCTTTAAATGCCGTGTCTTGTGTTAACTTAGTTGTTTCTATCGGTATTGCTGTTGAGTTCTGCAGTCACATTGCCTATGCATTCGATTCGAGTACTCGTCCCGCAGATGAAAGAGTACAAGATGCGTTACAAAAGATAGGTTCTACAGTTATTACTGGTATTACATTTACGAATATACCTATTATTGTTTTAGCGTTCTCATACACGCAAGTAATAGAGGTATTTTTCTTTAGAATGTTCTTTACTTTGATAATTTTGGGATTCTTACACGGGATGGTCTTCTTCCCTGTATTGTTAAGCTACCTGAACAATTTAAGGAACAAATAACTTTGTGATATTATTCTTAATAATTTTTAATTAGATCTAAAACTAATGTACACTAATGTATGTAGGTACTGAAACTGTAAGAAAAAAACAATTTGTAACCTCAAGATTATTACAAACGTAATGTTTTTTTATAAATACATTTTTTGAAATCTATTGCGATCAATACGGAACATCTTCAAAATGTTAATTGTCATGTTTTGCTTTTGTAATTATGTAATTCGCTTTCGATAGGAAAATAACATTAAGAGTAACATTTTGATCTTAATTAAATTTTCAAATGGAAAAATGTATTTTGTTTAAATTAAATGGCGAAAGCATAAGGAACGGAAGCTTTTTGCTATTTTAAAATTATTTATTGAGTATAACTGTTTATTACATCTTAATTTATTTTTACACCTAGTCTAATTTATATTTATATAAATAAATGCTTCATAATAAATATGTTGCTTTATTTTATCCATATAATGAACAAGCGAACCAGATTAAACATTTATTAGATGGAAAAAATAATCAAAACTTCAGTCATAGATAAAAGAAAATTTAAGACAGATAAAATGCTTAATTTTTATTTTTTAAACTTATCTTCAACGAAAATGTGAAAGTATGTATTAGATTATTTTTTACCAATTATGCAGATTTATATTATTTTATATAGTTATTATTCTTTTGCAGAAAAATCTAGGTCAAATAGTACATAAAACTATTTAGGTTAGGTACAAAGCACCTAACTACTCACCTTCAATAATAATAACTCAGATAAAATCACATACAGATAAGATTTACATTTAGTTAAAAGTCGGAACCGCATCAGTGTTAGGAATAGCGTGTTAGGAATTAATTCATTAAGAAATTAAACCATTATGTAGATCGGATCATTATTCAGAGGGAAAGACATAAAGCAACAGAGTTTGAAAAAACAAATGTTCCAATTTAAAGTTTATTCGTTTTGAATTTTTAAAAATATTCAATGAACAGTTTTTGCCTGGTTCACAGTTATTATCATATAAATAGGGATTACCTATCTTAAAAGTATTATTGCTGACTAGATAATTTCAACGAAATACACTACTGTACTGTATGTACTCTTTTCATTAACATTAGACGTTTTAGTAACTAAATTTAGATACATAACTTAAGTATAGAACTAACATGAAATTGTTCTAAATAAAATATACAAAATCGATTTACAACGTTAACATCTGACTCACAAAGATCAGTGTTAAGTGCTTAATATTTTTGTTAATCATGTATGCAATGTACGACCCGGATGAAAATATATAGGCATATTTTTCATTTCGTATAATATTTGTCGTTATCTTATCTTAAATTATTCGACCTTAAACATTTTAATTAATTATCTTATCATTTTCTGTTTATGAAAACGTGGTCAGGATGAAAGTTTTTCATCGCTGTCGATGTGTAGACTAGTTCCTGGCGCCGATGATGTTAAGTGGTACTAATGTAAATTGCATGATGACTACAGAAGATTTACGTTTAAGCATCTAAAACATGATTCAAATATGCAATGTAGCATATAGCTAAACGCAGTATTTCGATTTTGGATAATTTCTTGTCGGGCGGTAAAGTTGGCAGTAGTCTTCTAAGTGATGCGAACGCCGCATTGAAGGCTTCGACTCGAATCCTTTCCCTGGTGGCGTGAGCTGTGCGGTATTTGAGGGTGGCTCTGCGTCGTCGTCTGCGTTCTTCACGTGATAAACCAGCACACGGTGATCCAGCTCCGCTCGAAAGATACGCTTCTTCCGATATGGAACACGGCTCTAGTGTTCTATCTCTGCAAAATCGAGTACAGTAGATTGGGGGGAACAGAGACTAGAGTTAAAATAGGGAAAAAACCTGGGATGTCACAATACTTTTGTTGAGTTGTTAGATTTAAGTTTGTTGAACTGAAAAATGTCTTTTATTTAGTGTTTAAGAATATTAAATAGTTTAATTTAGTCATCAAACTTTTGTTAGTCATTAAAATTATAAAAAGTTAATTAACTAAAGTTAGGTATCTACCTAGCAACTGAATAGTGCCAGCCCTATTGATAAACTCTATTGTCTCCATACGTAACCTGATTCCCCCCAAAGCCAAGGTGAATCGGATCAATCTAGTTTTTTCAGTTTTTGTGTATAGTTTGTAATGAGCTATGTATAATAATGCATCGTATATAAAAACTTAAGCCTCCGGAAACATTTTAATCTCAATTTTATTGGTATTACCCTAAGAAAAACTATTGAAAGTTTGTGTTGGATTTGGAAAGGGTCCCGATTCCCCCCAATGTACGATAGTGTTTGTTCATACGTCTTTAATTCGTCTTACTTTTCTAAAGGTGGGTACTGACCGGCGTTACAGAGCGTAATGTAATACTGGGTTTTCCGTCGGTGATGTGTATGGGCAACGGTTACTATTTAACACCAGGCCTAAGCAATAAAAAAAGGTATCATTTATACAACAAATTTGATTAATCTAGGTTACAACAAATTGTTTGAATTACGCTCATTGTACCGTTAGAAATAGACAATTTGAAGCATTATCTGATTGATAGTTTTTTAATGCCATACACCTGTAAGGGATATAAATTTTATGCGTGTAGCAACAATGCTTATCTCTTGGTATTATGAAGCCGAGTCTCCGATAACATTTGTTTTCAAATAATATTTTATATTTTCGAAGAATTCTTTCACAATGTGAGGTGGCTTGGTAACGAACTATTCAACCAACTATTGAAGCGAAGCAAAAGTGCATCTGTACTGTTTTAATGGACGAGTTTAAGTAGAGAAGTAGATTATCGTCCCGACCGTGTTTCTGTGTTGTTGCGAGATCGCGAGATGTCGTAAGATAAGAATGGGCGACTTACTTAGTCAAGGTTGGCTCATTACTGTAATTTATCTAGGATTCGCGGTCGTGCATAATTTTTGACTAATCTAGTACCATAATATACATATTCCAGCCAATATAAAACAGATCAAAACTCACCTTTTCCTGGGTGCTAAGTTTTCTCTTCCCGTAATTGGTAGCAAAGCTTCTCTTGGCTCCGCTAGCATGCAAGACATGGACCCATCTTCTATGGTACTCGCTGTTTCTAACCAGCTTTTCATTCTGATTCTAGCGTCCCAGACATTAACATTATTCATTACAAGGTAACTAAATACTTTTTTTCCCCTATCGAAGCTGATAGCCATGAGAGGCTATTTCAGCGTAACCTTAACTAGTAGGTAGGGCTCAAACCAGAGGGATGCTAACACTGTCCCTAGCAAGAGCAGTGCTTCGCAGAATCTACCACCGGATCGGAAACGCGACCCACTGAGAAGATCCGGCGTGAAACTCAGTGGGCTGTATCTATGGGTTAATTCGCTCGTTGAGCCCTTCGGGAGGATCCGTAATGACGTGTTTTGAGCGACGTCGACTGTTTACCATTCGGTCTACAGGATCGGGTATGGTACATAAATAAATAAATACTCGTGATGGGCATTGACAATTTAGGAAAATGTATTGAGAAAATAGTGATAGATAAGCCCGTCGAAAACCCGTCTGCATATTTCAATTTTATTTATGTGTTAACGTTTTATGTAAATATCTAATGGTATTCGTTACCAAAATGCGTCAGGCAGATCTGCCTGGAAAGAGTCTTGGTCTAAATAACAAAAGACATCAATTTTATAAAAGTGCAAGAAAAATATTTTGATATTTCCTCAGAGTTCCCTTGGGCTTAACACCAAAGACGTGTGTTTTGATTTCCCGATCAAATCAAATTTACTGGCCGCAAGGGTAGAGAGTACTCGATAAATAATCCAACACCCGTTCGCACCTAGCACTAAGCGGGCTCTTTAGGGGATAATAAATCCGTATTTATTCTTTTTATATCGACCCTCGGGTCACAACCCTTCAGCTAATCTAATCATGTTCGGTAACCGTATCGAATCGATTCGATAGTTTGGTGGAAGACCTCTGGTTGCGAAAAAATTGAACACATTGCAAGGTATTTTTGACACGCTTTTGTTTGACAATACATATTCTATTTAAGGAAATCATTCAATGAATGTTTGACCAACTTAATTATGTATATAGATTCGATTAACTTGAAAAGTTATATCCCTATCAAGGACTAGGATACACCAGGATAAAAACCATGATTATTTCAATTACAATAAAATTTTCAGTCAAATATAATTTGAATTCGTCGTTCGTCGAAATTGAAGTCGTCGTGGCCTAACGGATAAGACGTCCGGTGCATTCGAGTTGAGTGATTCACCGGTGTTCGAATTTCAGGCGGGTACCAATTTTTCTAATGAAATACGTACCTACTAAACAATTGTTCACGATTGACTTCCACGGTGAAGGAATAACATCGTGTAATAAAAATGAAACCCGCAAAATTATAATTTGCGTAATTACTGGTGGTAGGACCTCTTGTGAGTCCGCGCGGGTGGGTACCACCACCCTGCCTTTCTGCCTATTTCTGCCGTGAAGCGGTAATGCGTTTCTGTTTGAAGGGTGAGGCAGCTGTTGTTACTATACTTGAGACCTTAGAACTTATATCTCAAGGTGGGTGTCCCATTTACGTTGTGGATGTCCTCCAGTAACCACTTAACACCAGGTGTGCTGTGAGCTCGTCCACCTATCTAAGCAATAAAAAAAATATTGTCGTTTAAGTGCGATTTTTTTTTATTGTTGAACAATCCTACTTATTATTGAGAGTAAATTGTACTAGGTGATATGAAGATTTAGAAATAATTATATTAATTTAAAAAGCTTACTTTTTTTACTTAACTATGCTTTAGTTTGAATGTATCTCAAAACGTTAAATTCATCCTTAACGTATAATTTACATGTTTTTAATTATAATATTTGACTTGAAAGTAATAAAAAAAATTTATTGTTTAAATGAATGAATGAGCGCACGGCCCACCTGGCGTTAAGAGGCTAGAACGAATACTGGAGGCCCGAAGTCCTTTCCAGTTCCAGAATTAAAGACATTTCGTCTAAGTCTCAATTG